CCCCAAAACCCCAAAACCCCAAAACCCCTTTTGATTTTGCAAAGATTGAAAAATATAATAAATTAAATATGAAGGCGCTCTTCATTATACAATGTAGGTGTTAGAGTAAATTAGCATTCTGCTGGAGTTACCTCATGTTTAAATAACTGAACCCTAACTTGTAATATTCTTACCTAAAACCTCTCTTATCTTGATAATCCTTATAGACATCCTATTAAGTTTGGCTGTCTTTCGAGGTTCAAGCCACTCTCCTCCGAATCGACGCTCAAGAAGGCACCTAATCGATTGTTCAGACTACAGAACTTGTACTTCTTGCAATTACTACATCGGTAAGCCCTGAAGACCTTCAAGGAGAACTTTCCCTGCCAAAAGCCGGGAAATATAAGGGAGAGCATTTTTAGCGATTAGGATATTTATAAGTTTGAATAAGGGCTCGGATAGGTCAAAGGGTTGAGGGAGAGGTTTAGAAGAGTTTGGCTATTTTCTTCCAAATTTGGGTTTGTGGGTGTTTTAGGGCTGTTTGGACCTGGGGAGAGGGAATAGTGATGGATTTGCATCTGGGGGGGGTCTTAGGATACTAGGGATCTTATAGAAGGAGAATTTTGGTTTTTGAACAGTTCTTTATTTTTAATTTCAAATATAGATTCTGCAACAAATTCTTGAAAGTTTTGAGATGGCGGTGAATATTATGATAGTACAGAAGAAGCTTGTAATCCTTGCAATGGCAAATGCACTGGTAAATGCTCCTACCAATCTTTCTGCTTCGACTGTTCTTCTGGTCAGTATTTTGACCTCGACAACATGGAATGCGTCAGCACATGCTCATCGACACAGATCACAATTACAAACTCTCAGTTCCATAGCAAGCCTATTTGCAGAGGCTTTGACTATTTCGTAGACACAAGTAGCGGCAGCTACATGGAACTCGGTACTAAGCAGTTCCCTTACAAGAACATCGAATTAGCATTTGTAGAAATCCTGAACTTCCACTCACATAGTGACAGAAACCTCCGAGTCAAAGTCATGGAGAATACTGACAACTACGTCGGAGGTATTCTGGGATCCAGTCTAAGGTCAGACAGGCGTCCCGTTGTCTTGGTCAATAACATCACTTCTGTGACAGTTGAGAGTTACTCTGTGCACTCTTCTCTGAGTCCTGGAACTGCCTCTATATATTTCACAAACTCAAGCTCGGTCAGCGGTAATTGATTTCTGACAGTGTAGCGGACCCAAAGACAATGTTTAACATAATGAATCACACACAGTCAGAGATAGAGTCCGATATTACGAGGTAAGTAAATTCACCATAATTTCAAAAATCTAAGCTGACTTGATATGAAACAATTTCAAATATCATAAGAGTCCTAATAACAGCATTTGATTTATTTTATTTTGCCTAAAATTATCATTTCCTCTCTTCTTAATCCTCACCTTACAGCCTTAAAAACCATATCTCCTTTGTCCTAGTCCTTAGAATTAAGATTTCCATACCTCATAAAAATTAGTTTCACTTTGATAATTTTCAAAATTTCAAAACTTCCAATACAAATTTTCAAATTACCGCTTGAGTCCAATCTTTTTCAAACTTTTCATGAAAATTCGACAGATATTTATCCGATAAAAAAGGATCACTCAGTTAGATAAGACCAAAGTGGATTCTTCTGCTGGTTCATGAAATAAATTTGTGTATATTTCGACCTCAAATTTCGACAAATTAGCAGCCGGACTGGTCTATGACTGATGCTGAAGTCATGCTGACCATTTAAACGTTAGCTTAGTTTTATAACGGCCTGTTATAAAAAATACGTTTTGTACATTGGAAATCATTCGTCAGATTCATCTAAAAATACCATACATTTTTGACATTTTGATGAAGCTCAGCTGCAGATTTTCAAACATTATAGCTTAAATACTTAAAAATTAAGAGGAATTTTTACAGAATTACTAAATTTCTACTATGGGATAAGAAATTTTATTATTCTGGCATTAATCAAAACGAGCTGATTTTAAAGGACTAAAACTAACTATTATAGTTCATCAAAACTGATATAATCAGTCATTCAAGTTTCACAATGAACAGGATCAATCTGTTCACTGCTTTCGCTGACAAACAGATTGACACTGACTTGTTTACAGTAACTGATGGAAAAGGCAAAGTGGTAACTCTCAAGAACTTGCAGATCAAAGCCTCAAATATCGATGGGAGCATTCTGTATAACTATGGTCAAGAAACCAGTTTGCACCTTGAGAACTTAGACATTGGTGAGGATATCAGTAATTTCTAGACTTTTATGGAGTCCAGCATGGCATCGAATTCCATCCAACTTGTTCTGAGAGCTTGACTGGCACAGAGACGTCAGTTGTGGTGACAAATGTGACTGCTTACAATTCTCAAGAAAGAGGAGATAGAGCGTATTCGTATTTTTACTTCAACGGAAATGCTAATATCACAGTAATTCTTTTATTTATGTGTAGATCTCTGACTCTAAGTTTGAAATATTCAAGTCAAGTACAGATGGGATTGGGACGATTGAGCTTCAGACTACAGAGTCTTGCTCCACAGGAAGTTACCCTCACACTGTCGATATCCTCAATAATGAGTTCCAGTTGAACTCGAATCCATATGGTTACAGGTTCAACAATATCGATGTCAGGTATATCGCCTCTAGCAGGCCAGAGGTGCTAAATATAAAGCATAATGTCTTTAAGAATATACTAAGCTCTATTCTTCCAGTTGTGCAGACTAATATTGAGTCTGAATGTGACATCTTCATGGAAAATAACAGATTTGTGAATGTTTCAGCAACAAGCGAAATTGTATTTCTGAATACTAAGGGAACTGTCAGTATCAAAACCACAACATTTTCTGATATATCAGAATTTGGAGGAAATATTTTCTCCATTACCAGTGCAGCAAGGGTTTTTATAGATGGGTTTAAAGTCCAGAATGTTTCACAAATAGCCAAAACTGAGACAGCATTTATTTTAGCTAAAATAGCAAGTCAAATAGATTTTAGTCTATCAAATTTGGATATTAGTGATGTGACAATTAATACTACTCCTGTGCTGAATCTCAGAGGCGAAATTGGTAAACTAGAGATCACTGATTCTATCTTTAGTGGAGTTATTTTTGGATCTGAAACTTCAATGTTGTTGGTTAACTCTTTGAGTTCACTAAAATTACAAAATCTCACTTTCACAAATTTAACTGAGGACTCTTCCACTGCAATTGATAACTTTATGTTTACTATGAGTACACTTAGACTCGATGGCTCTGATAATTCTACTGTGCAAGATATCGTCATCGACAACTGATTAGTGGGATTCATGTCTTTCAATGAAATCAGTGAAACTACATCAGCTCCTAAACAGTTTGAAATGAGCAATGTTTTGATTCAAAATTCTGTTTACCCTCACTCTACTAACTTGATTTCGCTCACTGAAATAATCACTGACCAAGACTTTCAGATCCAGATCAACGGCTTGGTGTTCAAGGAACTCGAATTTCAAATGACTGGAGATTTAATATTATTGAGCTGCCAAATAAAGAAAGGAATACACTTCAATGATCTTGTGCTTGATGACATCAAAGGTGGGACAATATTTTCGTCAGCTTACAAAACTTCTGACTCAACTCCAGCAAAGTTTACGATCACGAATGTTTCAATCACCCAAGTTGATGCCAGATACATGTCTCTAATTACGATCAGAGACAGAGTAGAGCTTGACATCAGTGACTCGACTATTGAGCTTGTGACTTCGTTTGGAAAAGGATCTGTCTTGAATGTACAAGGATCTGGAAGTACAGTGTCTATCCGTAACTGCACTCTGAGTAGAAATGCTGCCTTTGAAGGAGGCGTATTCAATATTGACGCTAACAGTGTGCTCAAAGTGTATGACTCTACGATCAGTCAGAACTTCGCTCTGCAAGGTGGAGTCATAAGCACTGCCGTCCAAGGCTTCTTTGAATTTTATAGGGTAACGATACAAAGCAATTATGCAGTTTCGATGCCTGTTGGAGTATTGTTTGACACTTCTTCTACCTCAATCCTCAACAACTGCACCATCACAGAGAACCTGGCCATCTCACCCACATCCCTCTCACTCGAACTCACCTCTGCATGCAAATTACTCTGTTTCCTCAAATCCAGTTACAAAGAGTACATCTCCACTGACCAGAGTAAGGCCCACTGTTAATTTTTAGGGCTAGCTTCTTTTTCACCATCTTCGTATTGCTTACAGACCATGCAAGGGAATATTTTGTTCACAAATCAAACGGTGGTGACTAAACAGCCAGAGTTATTAGCATCTTTTTTGAATTCGCAGTTGACTATTGATTCTGCGATATTTACAGATATTACAAGCACTATGTCACATATCTCTTTGTTAGAGTCACATTCTATCATTTCTAATGTGACTATTACAAATTTTACTATTGGTGGGTCGCTCTATGAAGCTTTTCTTGCTACTGATCTTGAAAGTACTTCAATTCTCAGTAATATCAACTTTATCAATAATTTTGGATGCTTTCTCTTTGTTCTTGAGTCAGAGATGACTCTTGATAATATTTTAATTGAAAATGTGACCTTAGATAACTATGTTCTTAACATTGATCAAGGGTAAGTAGGTTGGTTATTATTTATAGCTTTTTTATTTTCAAAAACTCACATATTCGAAATGTTACTTCCCTGAAACACGACTCTGCACTGCTATACATAAATATACACCAGCATCACTTCCATGGAGGGGCTCAAGCAACAGTGGTCAAACAAATAGAGCAGCACAATTTAACTTTTGAAAATATTGATCAAACAGTCATTAAGCTTTATGCTACTCTTATTATTCGTAGTGACAACATCACTTGTAAGTGTAAATTTGTAACTTCTAGTCCGGAACTCTCTGAGAGCGATGAATATTATTATGAATGGCTCAGCTAGTTACGAAAACTCTGTGTTTGAAAACCTAGGCTCTTCTAGCCTGAGTGACGGAGCTGCATTTAGTGCTAACTTTGCCCAAATCTATCTGAAAAATACGACTGTCAGAAATAATCAAGCCATCAGCGGAGGAGCAATGAACCTTGATTGTGTCACTGATTACAAATGCGAGTTCAATTTTACTGATTGAACCTTTGTAAACAACTCAGCTCAAAAGAATGGAGGGGCTATCCAGTTCGGAGTCTACGCTCCAGTGAGTGTGAATACACTGTATGCAAATAACTCTGCTCAGTATGGGCCTGATATAGCAGGGTACGCTGTAAAGGCAGTGCTCAAAGATAGCAAAACAGATGACATCATAATTAACAATGTTGGAAGTGGAATAAAAATTACTGAAGGATTTACCTTACAGCTGGTTGACTTTGAGGGAAAAATCATGCACTTGGATAACTCATCCAAATTAGTAGTAAAAATCAGTACTCCAAACGAAGTTATCCAAGGAGCCGATGTTAAAATAGCAAGTCAGGGTGAAGCTACATTTGATAATCTTATATTCACATCACATCCAGGTGACCAGTCTGTGGAGTTTCGGATAGTCACAACAGCTGTGAATGATGAACTAGTGATGGCCCAGTACGGAGAGATTGTCCAGAAACCATTAACAGTAAACTTCAGGTACTGTCAACCAGGAGAGTATGAGATCGGAGATGTCTGTCAAGAATGCTCACCTGGAAGCTACTCTTTCAAATGGAACTCTACTGTATGTAACAGCTGTTTTGACAAAGGCAACTGTTTGGGTGGAATTGAGGTATATCTAGAGGAAGGATACTGGCGAAAAACACTGAATTCTACTTCCGTCACCAAATGTCTACGTAAATAAATCATGCAAAGGTGGTTTTTCAGAATCAAATGAGCATCCTATAGAGTGTGATGTAGGCTACTCAGGTCTTTTGTGAGCAAAATGCATTATCACAGAGTCAAGAAAATATGAGGATATTGGAAATTTTAGATGAGCCCCCTGCCCAAATTCAGTGCTTAACGGGATCAGACTCGCTGGTTTGCTAATAGCAGTGCTTGTATTTATGATAATACTTATCATTTTCATGTTGAAAAAGAGAGAAGAAAGTCAAAAGGCTATACTTATGAAGATACTGACAAACTATCTGCAAGTAGTCACTGTTGTACTCACCATGAAGATAGAATACCCTGAGCTGTTCAATAGTTTACTATACCCTGCTGACTTAATTGGGTCTCCTACAACTCCGTTTGTATCATTTGATTGCTTTGTGAAGGACCAAGAGTTGGCTCTATTTGCACCTTCTCCAGCATTCTTTGAAATCTTCTTGTCTGGAATGCTCCCGCTTATATTTGGACCGTGAATAATTGTTATTTTTACTATAGTTTACAGACTTCCGTATCCTTGGGCTAAGGAGTTCAAGCGGAATGTTGTGGTAACTCTGATCGTGATCCTTTTCATCCTACATCCTAATCTGACACAAAACTCCCTCAGCATGTTCGAGTGAGTCGGAGTACCTGAACTCGAATCCAGAGTGGCCATTGATCTTGATATGGAATGATTATCAGGCAAACATCTGTTGTGGATTTTCTTGGTTGCAATACCGATGTTTTTTATTTATGGAATTGGAATTCCCTTAACTGCTTTTATTCTTTTATATCGTTCAAGGGACAAACTAAATAAAACTGAAATAAAAAGATACTTCCTTGTCTTATACCAGGGGCTCAAGCTCAAAGTATTTTACTGGGAGTTTGTCAACACTTCTCGAAAGATTACGATACTAATCGTAGTTGTTTTCTTAGCCCAAGCATCTGTACATCTCAAGGCTTTACTGATTACTACTGTTTTAGTTGCCTTCTTCAGACTTCAGGTGTTCCTGTCTCCTTACAAACTTAAGGAGAACAATGGGCTCGAAAGATTAGAGATGACGACAGGCTTGATCACTCTATTTGGTGGGTTACTATTTATTAGTGATGATGATAGAGAGCCTGTGATTGACCTCATGGTCTTTCTCTTCATCATTGTGTGAAATATCAACTTCATGATCAATTGGGTGTTCTGTATGCTCTGCACATTCAAGAATGTTCATCAGTAAGTCCTTAATCTCATATATAGCGTCCTTGACTCGACGATTATCTGTCTGGGATTTATTCTCTGCAAGAAAGGGAGTCAAACAGAACACTTGCATACGAAAGCAAGACCAAGAACTCCAAAAAGGTTGATCAGGAAGGGAGGCAAGAAAGTCAAAGGTAAAATATCCTCTTTTACACAGCTCTGGTTGGCATCGCTGACACTTTCTAGGTAGAAAAAGTACTAAGAATAAGAGGACTGTGAAAACTAGAAAGACTGGGTATACACTTGTCTAAACTTGTAGCAAGAGTTTTAATAAAGAGCGTATAATGAGGAAGGATCAAGAGAAGCAACCTGTTCCTCAGAAGTATTCTTTGTCACTTATTTTAGAATAACTACGCCCAAAATGAATAAAAAGAATGTTGATTTTGAGAATGCTTTAAATAATTTGACAGTAACTCCTAATCAAGATGGCCCAGACATTGGTGTAATTTCAACGAGTCATACTATAGACGAAATTCAGAATTTTTAGTCATTTCCTATCTGCTCACAAGAATTATTACAATCTCCGGCTTCTTTGATGAAGCAGTCTTCTTTGAGATACTTGCTTATAAAGATTTTTTGACAAAATTATTCATTCTGGATCCCTAAACTATTGATAATCTATAGATATTAAAATAGTTATTATCTTATTAATGAACCTTAGAGCCTTAAAATATCTCGAAATTTCTTTGAAAGTGTAGAAACTCCCCTCTTGCTCTTCTCCAACTTAGCTAGGTCTGCTCTAACTTGTCTTAGGCAGGCTTAGGCATTCCCTGTTACTTAATTGCTAACATTGACTTATAGATGATGTAGATTTGGATCAATTCAGCTTCAGAATATTACGTAGAGTTAAGGAGAAAAGTAAGGAATTTTTCATTAGAAGTTGACTTGGAGCAACCTCATGGTTTTATAGAGAACAGGAGGTACAAGTCCAAGAAGGAAAAACAGGAGGAAGATTCATATTCGAAACCACCAATTTTGGAAGTCAATGAGGACGCTGAGTACTTTATGAGCTCAGACCGATCAGGAGCCATGTCAGGATTTTGTGAGTGAGGTTTGTGATGTTTTAGCTGAGAGAAAGATGGGAATGGACTCTTCAAGACCTCTGAAGAAGACACAGTAAGTTGTAGGATACAAGTCGGATTTTAAGGAAATTTGACTCATTATTTTGAAATTTATAGCTTTTATTGAGGTTTAGGAATTATTAAGATAGAAGAGCAATCCACTTAACCATAGAAGAATAAATTAAACTATTTTTTATCCATTTGATAAATTTTTAAAGATATTTATTTCCTCTCCATACAAGAAATTCTATTATTAAAATTCCTTCCTCTTATATCAGCCTTTATTTTCAATACGTAAAGATTAAAATTAGCAAGAAAGCTCTATTAAATTCTAAATTCTCAGGTTAGTCTAGCCGATCCCTCAAAAGGCGACAAAGAAGGGGACAAGAATCCTAAATCAGGACTTAAAGACTGTACTAAGGAAGCGCCAAAGCTAAAGATCACCAAGCATGAATTCTTTGCGGATATCAGCAGCATGAACCTTCTTCTCACTCCAGTAGTTGAGAGTAACCTCGTTCCCTCTGCTATGCGCATCCCCGATAGCTCTGAGGATTAAGTCCTACTAAAATTCCTCCAAAATGTCCCTCTTATTCTCAGTTCTTCGCTTTTAAACAAATTTTGGGAATTAGAGGAAGGATTTTTGGGATTTTAGCTAAAAATTTAGGCAAATATAGCTGAGATTTGAGGGTTATTTGTTTTAGGGGTTCAAGAGGGGGTAAACATGGGATTAAGGCGTTCTGAAACTGATTAATGGGGAATAGGTTAAGATAGATGGAAAAGAGCAGCCTGAGAAGAGGTTTATGAGCATGAAAGTGCAAGTTTACTTCATTTGGAGAGCCTTTGGGGCTTCGTGCTTTTAATGTGGGGTGGTGATGAGCTTATTTATTCATTGAGAGGGTGGATTAGTGGCTCCGGAGCTTCAGTTAGTTCTGTTAATGCTAGAGTAATTTAGATCTGTGAATTGGGTAGCTTAGTGGGAATTTCAAAGATATATTCTACACTCTATTTTACAACTAGCTATGGCTTTGTTAAAGAAGAGGTAAAGAGGAGAAGTGTGAGATTGAAAAGGATAGCAAAGATATTACCTTATAAGTGCACTAATTTTAGCTATTATATTTGCATTTTTGAAGAAAATAGAGTCATGATAAAACCTCGAGGTTTACTATATCTCTATACATTTTCCAAAGTTTCAATACTTTATATATTTATGGGGTTTTGGGGTTTTGGGGTTTTGGGG